AAATCTAAATTATTTCATCAGAAAAGCTTTTAATTGTTTTATGAATTAGCTATATTATGGACACTAATCCGTTAAGCAAAAAAAAAAATCGATGAATAGTGAATTATTACAAGAATTTTTTAAACAAAATTTAATTAGAATAATTTATAACATTTTAAATCTTTAAAATTTAAAATTTAATTTGTAGCAGTTATTTTATATCAATCATGTCCAATGTCCGGAAAGCGGTCAAGTTTCATATGATTTTCTTCCTCTCTCATAGAATATATCACTTACTTCCCGTCAGTATTGTCAATCAGAATATGTAAGAAATGTAATTTCATATTTTACCAAAAGATGGTAGCAATACCTTGTAGTCGTCCTGTGGCGGTGTTATCCTGACTCTGTCCTTTTCCAGTCAATTTCTATAATCACTGCCTTTGAACAGGTCCGCTACCTTTGAACCAGACCTGGCCTATATACTACTGTCCAGATCTCAGTATCACCCTTCACATTAAGGCAAGCAAGTTATTTGAGATGAATAAAGTCTAAAATCTTAGTGAATTAAATTTGTTTTGTGTTGTTCAAAATCAGTTATATATATATTTGGACACTTGAACTTGTGTCACTTTGTCTTCTACTTCTTGATAAGATGAATGTTGGTGGTATGTCCCTATTGATAGGATTTGAACTTAAAATTTGGCAGACATCATTAATTACGTAATACTTAAGATTAACCTGAGATGTATTATAGCTTCTAGTAAATTCTTTTTTCTCAGACATATTTTATTTCATCTTATATGGGCTTCAGATATGACAGCTTGTATTGGACGCCTACGTAGACCACGCCCACAAATTACTCAACAGTAATTGGACGGAAAATAACAATACTTTTTGTACAGACAAATTACACATCGCACGAGCCACATAAAAATTTCTCGTGTTTTTGCTTCACCAAACTAGCTATGGAAAAAATCAACGATTGGTCGATTTTTGGCCAATCACATTAAATGACACTTTCTTCAATATCCTTCCCGCGCTCGTCCTGGGAGCCACCTTACATCTATAAAAAGTAGAAATTAAAGAAATAACTTCAGTAGATTATAAATTTTCACAACCTAAACCACGTACGTGTATATTCAATTTTCTACTCACAAACATACACAGATATAAACTGCACTCACACAACACAGTGTACTGTCTGTTTACAAGCCAAGTCAATTATTCGAACTATATCATTCTTCTGCACAAATATTTCAACTATCAAACTCAAACATCAAACATTCTTCTACCAACAAACTTAAACAAAAGACATTATTACAACATACATTGTTCTTCATACAATACAAGGGAAACCACTTCGTGTGACTTAATCTTTATTGTTATTAACAGAATTATATGTATATGCTTGTTTTAAATACATGTTTACTTGTTGATTTTTATTAATCTCTCTCTTGTCATTCATTCTTGTGTTTTCTTTACAAATTTAAAGTGGAGTGTTAATGTAGAAACGAATCCTTGATCAAAAACCCTTCTGATTCTTTTCTAACCAACACCATAAACTACACCACAAGCTGACTCATTTTGGTAAGATCTTTTTAAATGTATTTGTCACCCATGTGAAGAAACGAAAATATGCCATTGGCAATAAAATTTTCATAAGATAGTTCGTTTGGATTTAATTTTAATGGTTCAGAGAATGCCAAGCAGAATATTCACCTCATCAAATCTGGCCCTCTTTGAAAAAATTTTGGACACCACTGGTTTATATTATTATTATTCAAAACTATATTTACTCATCATCAAAGGAAATGTTTACTACAATTCAGCGAACTCAGCATTTTATAAAGTATTTTGATATTTTTGTGTCGATTTTTGTAAATACGGACGTCCATACACGAAATTATAAAACACACACACACACACACACACACACACACAAAAAAAAAAAAATAAGACGGTAACTGCAGTAAATTCAAAACAAAATTGAAAATTCAAAATCTTTAGTTTTCTTAAAATTTAAATTGATACTTAGTAAATATATAAAAAACATTCACATTATATTTCTCACGTAATTTTTGCAGATATGTCGCACGTAAAAAAATAAAATTTTATGTGGTCTATCAGTTTATCTATAAATATTTCAAAACCTTAAATAACAACTTATCTTCGTCTTAAAAGTAATTTTAAGAGTAATTTTATTTTTTTCGATTCGATATTGAATGATTGGACTTTTTGAGAATAACTATTTTCTTTCCAGATACAAGTCATACTATTTAACCAATAACTGGGAGGAGGAGGAGGAGGAGGAGGAGGAGGAGGAGGAGGAGGAGGAGGAGATGTATTCATAATTTCTCAAGGGTATATGCGCGATAGTGAATGCAAGGAAATTTAAGAATTTTCGAAATTAGCTCTCGGATTTCTCACTCTGAGCCATCATCTACACAACTCACATATTTAACTTTTGCTTAAAAAGCCGCTGAGTGTTGACTTCAATGTCCTTTTATATCTCTATTCCTCTAAGATTGGTTGATTAATACATTTGTTTGTTTAACGGCATAGCAACTCCCTACACATCTAAGACACCATGTGTCCATTTTATCTTTTTGAGTTTGTTTCGAAGATTCATAGTTTTTGTTTGGAAAGTGTTTTCCTTGTTTGTGTGTTTGAAATGTATTTCGTTTATCTATTTCCTCTTTTGAGCAATATACATTGTGAAAACTGGTGAAAAAAGATCTTCCTTCTGCAACATCGTCCCGGTGAAAGTCAGGATATTTTGACATAAGAGACTTTAGAGTTGTAACAGGTGACGGGGTTCTTCAGTGAGATTCAGATGAATGACATTTAAGTTTTAGCTAATATACTTTTTAAAAATAAATTTTCCAACTGCATGTGTCTATAGAATATTATTATCCCAAGACTACATTATTTATTAGTGTATTTTTCTATAAACATTTTGTGTCAGTTAAATTTTTTTTGTCCTGACCTTAGTAATTCTATAATCCGTAAACGTCGAAAAACCGAAAAACACCTGAACCCAAAGATTTCGGATTAAGGATAATGGATATGTATTTGCAATTGGTTTCTTGTTTTCACGGTGTATTTCTTAAATAAAAAGGATCGTATCAATATGAAACGTGAACATTTTTCGGCAATCAGTTACAGCATGCCTAGATTGAGGGAAACTACGTAAGCGCCTACTAAGCCGTTTCATTTGCATTTTCATTTCCTCAAATACACATATCAGAATCGCCATTTTTTCTTTTTGTTGACCTGATTCGTGTAAGGAATGAATTAATCTGTTGTTATGACTGGCATGAAAAAGTTTTGTTACTCCTCCCATTTTATCACTGCCTTCCTCCGTTGCTGTTGGTACAAGGTATTGAGTTCTTATTGAATAGGGATTTGTCCGACGACAGTTTGCTTCATACATGAAGTTAGAGCCTAATAATATCTTCATGTGTCGGAACAGATGACGGAAATTGGGACAATGACATCCGAAAGTACATTTGTATAGCGAAAGATGCCTTACAAAAGCTAAACACTGTATTAAGAAACAGAAATATAAATAAATAGCAAAGAGTAATTAACTTTTCTGTAATATCAGTCCTCCTATATTGAATGTTGGACAATCTCCTCACAAATATACTATAAATGATACTCCTCACCACATGTTGGGTATATGGTAGTGCTGTATTCCTTGATGTAAATACTTTTTCATACGATTCCTACTTTGAGACGCAAATATTTGCTGAAAGTTTTCATCTTCGAATCGACACTGTCTGGTTGGTGTGGGGCAAACAGTGTTTGTTAGAAATAAAAAAGTAATTTACACAAAAATCAGGAAAACCGAGAGAGAAAAAAAAGAAAACTCTGTAGACAAAATTAAACACTGCATGAATTATATATTTATTTATTATTTACACAGTACAATTCCCAAGAGACACTCAAAGTAGAGGATTAGTGAATGAGGTGTGATAAAAGAGTCAGAAGTAAAAAGTAAGGGATAAAGAAGATAGATAATGATTGACACTTGACTTGAAGATGGGACAATTGTAGCATTCCTGAAAGCATCCACGTTCTGCCTTCCGGTCTTTCTGACTGAAAAAGAGAGGGAAGTCACTGAGAGATAGATAGGTAGATAGATAGATAGATAGATAGATAGATAGATAGATAGAGAGAGAGAGAGAGAGAGAGAGAGAAAGAGAGAAAGAATATTGCGCCCCCCTAGAAGACAAGAGAGAAGGTCTCAAAATAAGACAAATATAAACAGGAGAAATAACACTTCTGCAAAATATAAACAGTACATGATTTATATATTCATTGTAGAGTTTGTGAATAAATCATCTTCAAAAATTAATGATAAACCAAATCTATGATTTTCAAGAATAAAGTACAAAGTTTTCAGTTTTAAAAGAAAATCTTGAAATTCTGTTCTGATGAATTGTTATGCTTTTAATTAGTGTGGTGACTAATATCCTTATCTTTGTTTTTATTCTAGTTTCAGCCACTGCTCTTTTGTCTGTGTGTCGCTGAATGTTGTACGAGTGGAAGAGATAGAAAAGACACAGAGAGTGTGAAATAGAAAAGACAGAGAGAGAGGGAGAGAGAATATACAGAAAGATATAGTGAGAGAGAGAGAGATAGATAGAGTGAAAGAGATAAAAAAGACAAGAAATAAAGAACACTGAGAAAATATAGAGAAGTACAGAGAGAGATATTATTCAGGTAGATTTGTGAATAAATCATCACAAAAAGATAAAAAAATCTATGATTTTCAAGGGAAAGAAAAATTTTAGAGAAGACAGAGAGAGAAGAGATAAAAAACAGAGAGATAATGATACAGGATGAAAATGGTGTGTCTGTTAAGAGAGAGAGATAGAGAGAGAGAGAGAGAGGGAGAGACAGGGAAGAGAGAGAGAGAGAGATACAGAAAGATCATAGTGACAAGAGAGATATAAAAAATAGCGAGAGAGAAAATAGAGGTGAAAAAAAGGGTAAGAGAGAGAGAGATAGAGAGATTAAATGAGATGAAAATAGTTCAAGAGAAAAATAAGAGAGAGAGAGAGAAGAGAAGTCGAGACAGAAATGAGAGAGAAGAGAGAGCAGACACATGAGAGAGAAACAGAAGAAAAAAGTGAAGAGAGAAAGGTGAGAAGGAAAAAGTGCAGACACAGAGAGAGAGAAGACAGAAGACAGGTGAGAAGGAACATAGGTAATGGAATATCCGGATGACACGAATTCCAAATTAGGCTAAAATGTTACAAATGCTCAATCAGCTACAAATCTATCATATTACAGTTATTTTAATCTTTGTTTTTATTCTAGTTCAGCCATTGTTCTTTTTTCTGTGTGTCGCTGAAAGTTGTACGAGTGGAAGAGATAGAAAAGACACAGAGAGTGTGAGATAGAGAAGACAGAGAGAGAGAGAGAGAAGAGAGAGAAAATACAGAGAAAGTTCAGAGATAGAAAAGAGAAAGAGATAGAAAAAAAAGAGTGAGAGAATACAGAGAGAGAAAAAATAGCGAGAGAAAAATAGAGAAGACAGAAAGAGGTTACAGACGGAGAGAGAAGAGAGAGAGAGAGAGAGAGAGAGAGAGAAGATGAAGACACATATGAGAGAGAAGACACAGTCAGGAGAGAAAAAAAATAGTGTAGGATTGAAGAATATCCAGATGATACGATTCCAAAATTAGGCTAAATTATCAAAATGTTCAATCAGCAACAAAGCTATCATGTTACAGTTATTTCAACAAATACTCACACAGTAAAAGGCACAAGAGCCACTCAAAGTAGAGGATTACTGAATGATGTGTGATAGAATAGTGGGAAGTAGGAAGTAAAGATGATGAGAATAAAGAAGATAAATTGACTCTTGATTTGAATGTTGTAGGATTTCACCCTTGCCGGCATCATCCTCGCGGTTATCTGAAACGATAAAAACATATAATCAAAAACAGAATTTATAAAACATAGAAAACAACATTAAAGTTCTATATGTGGTCAATTGAATTAGCTAAACCTATTTATTAATATTCTCTCGTAATTAAAAATAAAAAGAGAATTTGGGAATAATGGCTGAATTAAAAGCTATTTTAAAAATAAAGATCTTTTTGAAAGAGATTAAATCAATGGTTAAGATTTTCTTTCTATGCTTTAGATTAAAATTTAAATATTGAATTGAAATTTTCAGACACATGCACATGCAACACGCACCCATCCACACACATTTTATCTTAAACATTAAATATCTTTTTCTTCTGATTGATATTTTTTTTACTACCGGAAATAAAAAAGAAACAAAGGTTACACACTCCTGCATTCAGCGGTTGGGTTTAACCCCGAACAACCCTGAACATGGCTTCCGTTTACGGACAGGTATGTCATTTGAGTGCAATGTTTATTCCAGCATAATATCATATGCCTCTACAATTTGTTTTACAAATTCATAATTTTATCAAAGTTGTGAATTTTTCTTTTTTCATGAATTAGTTCTTTTACCTAGTAATTTTTTTAAGTTCATACAAATTACTAAACAATTATGTTTTATTACACGTTTCTTAAACCCATCTCCATAAATTTCATTGTATTTTATCCAAAGTTAACACATAATTGGTAACTTCAATACTTTTGTCCTTGGACATATTACGTTTCTTCAGCATAGTTAAAAACCATTCATCCCCATTTTCTTTTTTAAATGTTAAAGTCCTAAAGACAAAAAGATCTGGCGGAAATTGTTTTTATTTACATCGTGTTCTTACATGCCTAATGCAAGTAGCTTTTTAGCTGTTAAGCAGCAATGTAACACAGTTTTAGAAAAAAAAATGTTAAAGTTCTGTTTATTTCTTCCTGAACCTAGTAATGAAAATTCCATTGGAATAGTAGATCCAACTGATTAAATACTATTTTCTTTATATTCTTATAACGGAGAAACGAAGGCTTGCCGCCGCGGAGAAGCGTGCTCGATGGAAAGATAACGTGGCTACATCGGGGGGAGCGTCTTCACATGTATTCGTTGCAATCGAGTCTGTCACTCTCCTGACGGCCTGTAGAGCCATAACAGATGCTGTTGCCGCCCTCAGCAGCTGAAGCATAACTCTTCGGCCGCAGATCCAAGGTCTCTCGTGACCTATTTGTTCTCTGCAACAAATGTAACGTTTCGTCGCGGTCAGCCCGGGGTGGATCCTGGTTTGTTCAATGCAGTGATCTTTTCAAGCTAAGTTATTCATCATTATCTCGTTTTCAAGTCGCCATTATTATTATATATTTATCAGCAACCTAAATAGTGTTACAGCGTGCTTATTCTTCTTTTTATATAAGCTGCAGTGAAACAAAGTTCTCAATGTCTCTTTGGGTAGGTCCGTTTTTTTTTTTTTTTTTTAAATTAAGGATAAGCTTCGTTGTAATTGTCGAACTCAAGTCAGCCTTGCGCTGAGTTGAAACGACCAAAGTAAAACCTATCTGACTTCATCGGTCAAGTTTCTGCAAATCACTTGCGAACATTATGCATTGGAATGGGAAAGATAATTTCTTATTTTGGTCTTTAAGTACGTTCGGGCAAGTTTTGATATGCCTGGTTATAATGGTCGAGCCCAAGTCAGCCTTGCGCTGAGTTGGAACGATCAAAAAAAGTTTGATTTACTTCATGGGAGTGGTGGGGAGGATGAGTTAGTGGACCGGGGAAACGAAAGTGACTCAGCGGGGACGTCACTTTTATTTCATGAAATCGGATAGATTATACACCCAAAACACATAAAAAATTTAAATCAAATATAAAGAAAAAGAATTTAAAATTTAGAATTCTCATCATCTCTCGTTCGAGCACATTTGTAGTCGTACCGACGTAAAGAAATTTAGTCCAATGATGTCTTAACGGACAAAACGCGTCAACCAAAAAGTTTTTTACAGATTATCATGTTGTCTCTCTCTCTCTCTATATATATATATATATATATATATAAACATATTTATTTGTATGCATGTATGTATATATATATATATATATATATTTATTTGTGTGTGTATTTATATATATATATATATATATATATATATATATATATTTTTGTAAAATATTGTGTCAAATATGTGATCTGTAAATCTATATATTAAATCTATTTTTATTTTTTTCAACCGATTTCATTTATTTATCAGTCTATCTATAAATATTTAGTTTATTTTAACAGTTGTCATAAATGGATATTATTTAATGGAGAACAGGACTAACAATTGTATGGAATACTTTTACAGAAAACAATCCTTATTATAAAGTTTTCCCATCGATTGTTATCTTGTGTTTATCTCTGGAGTTCATGTGATTCTAACTATTCACAATAGTCCGTCAATTGTTAGTTCTTGTTCGCTATGATTTTTTTTTTTCTGATTGGAATTATAACAATTATTATTTTATTTATCATTGGGAATCGATTTTTTAGTATTGACGGCTTGAATCAATCAGTACACTTTTTTTTTTTGAAAACAAATGTTTAAGCAAAAAAAAAAAACAAAAAAAAAACAAGCGAAAAAGCACAAAAACTGTTTTTATAACAAACAATCTTCATTTTATATATGTGTGTGTGTGTGTGATGGCGTTTCATGGTGTTTGCCCGTAAAGGACGAAACGCAAGTTCTTTACTCCATTTTGTATGACAGAGAAGGCAAAGAGATGCCAAAGAGGAAGAACGAACTTGTGTCAAAGTATTTATAAACAACGTGGTCACGTGATCGAAAGGCATATACAGATTTCTGGCGGAATTTATTCCCCAGATATTTAATTTTTTAAATGTCGATTTTCGTATATTTAATTTGAATTTTGAGCCGTTGCTTTTGCTGACGACCATGTTACACCCTGCCAGCACCTCCTAAATAATAGACTATTCCGTTTTATAGACATGAATAAATGGAAAAAAATATATCAAATACTTTTTTTCAGTGAGTAAATGAAAGAAAATAAATGTTTATCGTCTGTTTCAGTGTAATAGAAAAAAGTAAAGATTCAAATACTTTTACTTACCTTTAATGTCTGGCATTATTTTTGATTGTTATTGCAATATTTTGTTTTTGGAAAAAATATTTAACGAAGCGATATGGTTATTTCTACGGATTTCTGGTGTCTTTCAACTTGTTTAATTCATTAACTTTTATTCATCAGAAAATTCAAACAATCCGTGAAAATAAAAAATTCGAAGGAGAATGGTCTCGGTTTGATGTTCGTAAAAATAAAATAAAAACAAAAAATCCAACCCGTCGATAAAGTCTCAAATTTCCTTCACATTTGGTCTATAAGTGATTAGTTCGTCCAGACATCGGATTGCAGAAATATCTTCAGAAACTTATAAACAAAACATTACACAGGTGCATGGTAAAATTCTTTCGGACACATAAAATGGGTTGCCTTTCTCTCATATTTTTCTTCTTTCTTGTCTTGGAGACAGAATGCTACATGCATTGCTTAATATTATTTTGCCTGGTTATTTTTCTTTCTTTTGTTATAGTTTTTTGGAATTTTTTTTAGTTTCATTTGCTGGACATTTTTTCCAGTTCTAGTTAATCATGACCTTTTATTCTACATATTGTACCAATCAGTTCCCCCTGGAATCTATATTGGAATCAAAGACAGCATTCTAATCACCAACTAAGACTAGTCGATTAATGTTTTAATCTGTCAAAAGAAGCTAAACAAATCTTTACTGTCATTGGGGGCATAAACCATAAGAACGTGAAATACATTATTCTTTATAGGAACACCATTTCTTATCTATTTTCCCACTGTATTTTTACATGAAGACATGTGTTTAACTCTTTTCATGTACTGATCTTGAAGAATAGGACTTCAGTTATATGGATTGGCTATGCCAATGTTACTTGGCATCTGGTTTGGTCCTGATCTGCAGTTTGAGGCATTTTTATTGGAAGTTGTGCAGAAGGCCCAGATCAGAGTTAGTCTATGATCCCCTGTATTAAACAATAATCTTTGTGTTAACAAATACAGAGTTAATTCCCTTGATTAATATCTTACATTTAGTCAGTAAGTGATGACATTAGTCAGAATGACAAAAACCCCATCGGATACAGAAGAGAAATTTAATAACGGCGGAATAATGCCAGTTCAAGGAGCATGAAGGTTTTTACACCTGTGATTGTTCATACATCATATCTTAATGTATCATTATATAAATATTTTTATCTGTCAATAATGAACATTATAATTCTCATATCTTGAGAAAGGAGTTTAGTAACCCTCATTTCAATTTTCAAACATTTTCTTGAATTTCATTGGTTGTTAAATAAAAATAAGTTTCGAGAAATTTCCATAACAAAACAGTCAAAATTTGTGCAAAAATAGGCTCAACTGACATAAAAAAAAAAAAAATTTCTCAAATTCAAATCCTATTGGCTAAAAAATAAAAAATACAACATTGGCCCACGCATTTCTCAGAAAAATTCGCAACAAGCTACCAAGCAGCTGGAGTCGATTTTATTGTTAAAAAAAAATAGAAATAGAAACAGCAAACGAATTTTCGTCGAATTTTGAGACTCACACACGCAAAAGATAAACATACAGAATTATATGTCAAAATTGCCCAGCTAAAGAAAAAAACTTTCTTTATGAGAAATTTGAAAAATTCATACAACAAACTTTTCACTTAATATCTTTCATAGAAAAATCTTTTGTCTAAGTTAAATTCAACCTTTCAATCAAAGGCAGACAACTTTTTAGACATTGAACATTTCTGAAACAGCAAAGAACTTTTTTTCTATACATTTGCACACATCATTACAAACAAAGAAATTGTAAATTGTGTATATAAAATTTAATTTGTTGTTTCAAACATGTATTTTTTGTTTGATTGAATATCATTACCATTTGGCCATTTCTTATAATTTATGTTTGTGGATATTGCAAATTTTATTTGCAGCACAATCTTAAATATTTACGCATCCTTCTAGATCCACTACAGGAGATCTGATGTATTAATAAATCCAGAGTTAATTCCTTTGTAACTATTTATAGTGACCAATTACATTTAAAAAAAATATACAAAACTAGTAGTCAGTCATATCTTAGGTTGCTACAAATAAGCACGCAATATGTTTAGTTTCGCCATTCAATATTACTCATAGTTCACAAAAAAGTTATCTGCCTGAATACCTCACCTCAGTATTTATTTGGAAATCTCCTTTTGATTAAGTCAACCCCCTTTATTGTATATAAAGGACCGTTTGTTTAACTAAGAGAAGAAAACAAAGAATAAGTAGTATCTACTATTACACAAACAAACATACTGAAAAGTCCTCAGCCAAAATAACTTATCTTGTCATGTATATTCTTTCTTTTGAGAGAGAGAGAGAGAGAGAGAGAGAGAGAGAGAGAGAGAGAGAAAATCACTCCCTTTATGCGTATGGATGTATATCACACACAAACACAACATTCTCTGAATGTCCATCAGAATTTATTTTAAAATCATCTTTTAGTTAAGCCAAGATATGTTCACTCCCTTAAATTATAAAAAGGTAGCATTTGTTTAATTAAAAACTAAGAAATTACGACAATTTTCAAATCGAAAGTCTGCAAAGTTAACATATTGATTGAAAAGTTTTACTATTTTATCTGTTATTAATTTATTCAAAAGAAAAAAAGTTGTCATCACCTTTGGGTTTTTAGTTCAATGTAAAATACTAAAAAAACCCTTAGTTTACAAATCTGTTTTCTTTTGTTTCGTCATTCACTGTTACTCACTTTTCCAGTAAGATACAACATTGACGTAATACATAATATTCTCAGAGGATGGTTTCCGAAAGAAAGATTTGATGAAAAATATCTACCCCTTCGGATAGATGGATTGGCCATGCCAGATACTCAGCATCTGATATTGTCCTGAGCCCGAATTAGAAGAAATTGATTAAAAACATCTACTTCGTGCAAATTTACCGATTCTAAGATCTTCCCAAATGGTCCGAGTTTTGTTCCATTTCTTGTGGTGTGTCAAGATAGTTAAGGTGCATCGGAGTTCTTTTATTTCCACTCGTATATTCAGAAAAATATGGTAATGGCGAATTCTGGAATTACTTATATTGAATATGTTTTAGATAAAAAAAAAAAAACAACTTTCTATATTCTGTTGTAACATGAAAATGGATTCCCACTCATCTACACACACATAAATAATAATAAAAAAATACTTCACCTTAAACAGCAAATTTTTCCATTTTATGAACGATGTTTTTTCCACTTTCTATTCGACAAGAGAGATCAAGGTTCCGTCCATCACTCTTGCTTACATTGTAAAACAGTGAGCTTATAATACTACGGTTGCATTCATTTTGACCAGTTATTTTTGTTTCGTCCTCATGAAGCTGGCTGAAACCTGTAAAACTTTTTCGATACCATTTCACAGAAAAAGGACCTTCTTTTTGAATGGTTCCTCTGCACGTAAATGTAGATATCTGACTGGGAACTAGCTCAGATGATGTTTTCATGAGGTTAGCAATTGCTGGCAAAGCTGAAAAGGAAACAAAGAAAGTAATTTTAATTGTTTTAATAACAAAACCTAATCCAGTTAATTATATTTCCTCATATAATATTCCTTTTGCTAATACGAAACATTTAACATGTAATATCTACAAAAATATCATTTGTCTGAGCAGCATCATTTTCATATTTAAACTGTTTACCAAATGCTGATTTACATTCCACCATATCTCATTTTCATTTTAATATTTTCACTTTCATGGCCAAAATTCTATTTTTACAGAAATATTTTGAATGATTCGTAATTTGTAATGTGATGTTCTTAGAATCTACAGGAAGACCATTTTCAGCTACAATCCCACGACACACGTACCATGTAAAATCATGACAGTTGACTTGAGAAAGGACAAATGTCACAGAACGTCTTTTTGGCGCAGATGCGTCAGAGTTGACCTCTAGAGAGACAAAAAGTATCGGAACTTATTTCAAACTTATCACATGCTAACTACGTAAGTTGCCTCAGTGGCTTTATTCCCACTGAGCAATGTTATCATCACAAGGTGATCATCATTTGGAAATTCACATGTTATTCTCATGTTCACTGAGTTCAAAGTCGTGTATGATGGCATTTTCAATGTTACAGCTGCACCTGTAATGTAAAAGAAAGAGCAAATCATCAAAGACAAAAAAACACCCCCCACCAAAAAAAAAGAAAAAACACAGACAGAAGAGAAGAGGACACAGAGACACAAATGTACGCAGCGAGACAGACACATACACATTCAGATACAGACACACACGCATAGATATGCAGAGTGAGACACGCACGCAGGCACAGACAGGCGCAGACACATAAAGAAAGAGATACAGACACACAGAGACAGAGAGACATAAATACAAATGATGACATGTAAATAATAAGACACACAAACAAATATTCTCACTCTCTCTTTGCTTGTATGTGGTTGTGTTTGTGCATAGAGATTTGTGCGTGTGTGTGTGTATATATGGAGATTTGTATTTGTGTGTGTATATATATATATATATATATATATTATATGTGTATATACATATATATATGGATTTGTGTGTGTGTGTATAGATTTATGTGAGATGTGTGTGTGTGTGTATATATATATTTGATGTGTGTGTGTATTTGGAGATTTGTGTGTGTGTTCGTGTGAAGTGTTTGTTTGGAAATTGTGATTTGTTCGTTTAAAGATTTGTGGGAAATTTGTGTGTGTAGGTGTGTGTGTGTGCGTGCGTGCGGTGTGTATGTGCGTGTGTGTGTGTTCAAAGATTTGTTTTGAAAGTGTCATTTTTGTTTTCATTTACTCTAAAACTTCGTCGTTGCTAGCATGTTTGGTCCATACTATTCTCAGTATCCTTCTGTAGAGACACATTTCTGTTGCTTCAAGTCTTTTCTTCATCTGTGAGAAGATTGTTTAATATTCACTGCCATACAGAACAGATATTACTTAACAGTTCAGTACTCATTTTTTTGTTTCTGACGAAATTATTCTGTTTCTTAATACTTTGCTTAAATTTGAAAGGCATTTCTGCTATCTTCATTCAGAAAAATCCCACTAATATGGACAAATTAATTATTAATTAATTGAACATAAACAGATTTGGATTGATCAAATAAAAATCCAAATGTAAAATTTTGAGCCAATGAATGAACTATCACCATTTGTATTCTTATCTCCATAAAAAACTAACATGAAACAAGAAATCATCCAAAAGGATTACGTAAGTTTAAAAACAGCAAATTTGAAATTACCTTTTAACAGGTTGTTGCGTAAAAGGAGATAGATTGTATGAAATTTCTGGAAAGGAAGGAAAAAAAAAATTACAAAAAATATTAAAAACAAAAAAACCCACAAATATATAAACATCGCTAGCGACTAATTTTAAAATTTACAGCTGGTAAGTCACTGTCACGTTAGCACATCGGACCAAGTGGAGGAACAATTAAAATAAAGAAAAACTATCGAAAAGAAAAATACATTTTTAAAATTAAATAAAGGCATTTTTGAACTTGGATAATCATGGAATAAAATTGTAAATTTTGAATTTCCGTAAAATTTATGTACATCAAATGTGAAAGATCACAGGTAATATAATTACAGTCATTATCTAAATATCTTAACACGGGATAGACTGTTATAGTTTACTCAGTCACAAATACAGAAAATTTACAAGAGGCAAAGAGAGAGATTGGAAAAAGAAAGAGACGAGAGAAAGTTTCAGACAGATTTTAATGTCAGAGATGGAAAGTATTTGAAATTAGGTGTGACACTATTTAGCTATGGTGCTAATTAACCAAAATTAAAACAGGAAATTCTTAAGGCAAAATTAAGAGCTATCCGGAAAGATAGACTGATCGATATTAAAAATATTTTATTTTATTCTATTTACGAAAAAGATACTTTTCACAAAAGAAAAACCCGTGGAAAAAAATTTTTTTTATGTGAGGTTTTGTCAAGTTGATTAATGTCTTGCCGAGGGAGATAAGAAGAAAAGCAAATATTAAGATATCGGCCAGACCACATGGTGGTCATAAAAGTTTTGGATTGAGACGAACGACGATACAGGGCAGGGAGAATCAATATTAATTATCTTTCCAAAATATCATTTTTTCCTGAGTGCCGGCGGAGAAGGGCGGTGTGGTGATTATAAAATTTTGGCATTTGTCTCGAAACAGACAAGAGGATTGTTGTTGTTTATTTACCAACGTCCGGTTTCAAACGCCGAGACGTTGGATGGCAATATGGCGATTATAAAATTTTGGCAGGAGAAAAAATAGAAGTGAAGAATTGAGATTTGCGCAATAAAAAGAATTTAATTTCTTAACAAGTCACGGATTTCATTATAAAGCTAACTTTTGGGACCAGATGGCCAACTTTGACAGTGATTGATGGAATTGGTAAAGAGTGCTAAGTGAATTCTAGGTGGACAAATGTGGCAATATGGAATTCGTAAAAATTTTGGCCGATGAGAAAAAGGAAAGTTGTAAACAAAATTCTAGATTATAATTTTAAGGAGTCCAGCTTAGACACACCCACGGCCGGGATGGCATTGGTCGAGTGGTAGCAATGGTGATAGGCGGAAGTGAATGGATGAGAAGGACGGAGAAGTTATTAACGCTCACTGAAGGGATTGGTATGAGATATCAATGTGAGAGAGGAAGCGTCTAGGAGGATAATCCGACCCCTCACGAAGGAGACCCCCAACCCGAAATGGAAAGTGATTAATTTTCCAAGAATGGGAAGTAATCAATTTTCCTGGCCTGACAACAAAGTGATTTCTTGTTAGAAATCGAGATTTACCGAGAAAAGTCCGCGTCTGGCTCCACACCGGGTTTTGGTCGGTACCCATATAAACGAACGTCCACGGTCGTTCGTTTAATTCCCATTCAGTGTTCCAGAGAGTTCCAGATCAGAGTGTTGCTTCGCAGAAACTGGCCGATTATTCCATGACCTCTGACTTCGCCTATTCTACCAATAGCAAGTTATACAGACAAATGAAGCCAAACCAACACATAAGAAATAAATCAGTTGACTTAAGATACCAACTTGTTAAATATAGAAGTGTCACATTTTCGACGGGCTGGGACCATTCCTGTATATAACAGAAGGATAAAGTTAATTTGTTATTTCAACATACTTGAACCCCTTGGGTTTTTCTTTTATTAAATCTTTTATCTTTAATTGTGCGATACCACATTCAGTCTGGACTCATTTACACTACGGCCCGACACCTTTGAACTCGTCTACCTAAGATTAAAGTCACAACACTGAGATCGAAGCAGTTACTCCAGTAACCAGGCGTTTCTGGGAACGATAGAGCGGGTATTGAACCGGTACAGCTGGTGAAACCGTTAACACGACGACCAGAATTCGACCCTGGACGGGCCAGTGTCCCATATTGGACCTGACCATGGACACGACCACCGATTGACCGGGACACAGGCTTGTGGCAGCAACTATGAGTCAACCCCAAAACGCCGGTGGAAGAAACATTACAGCTTCGCGCCGCGACTGGGAGTTGACCACGTGCCGACGGCTTGATGTCACAGATGCAAACATGTGCAAAGAGAGAGAGAGAGAGAGACGATGACAAGATAGAGAGGAAGGCAGAGGAGATAGAGAATTTTAGCTGCAGAAAAAGAGAAGACACAAGAAAAACATATGTAATAATAAACAGTACATTACCTTATTTTAATCATTTAATCATTTCACTCCAAGGAAGGTAGTAAAGCCACTAAGACATAAGGAGTTATTAAGTTTGAAAGAATAAAAAAAAATGAGTTCATACGGTTTCATTTATGAAAAAAATAGATATAAGAGTTTTCAGAATAAAGTATAAAGTTTTCTGTTTTAAAATAAAATGTTGAAATTCTGTTATGAAGAATTGTTATCGTATTAATTATTGTGGTGACTAATATCCTCATCTTTGTTCTTATTCTACTTTCAGACACTGTATTAACAAGAATATATTTTGAGTCAGCCTGGATTTTGTTTGTTTTATAAAAAGCAGCTTCAGAAATTTGATTTTTTTTTTGCAAAATACAGAAAGGCAATCACAAATGATGAATTTTAATTTTAATTGAAAAACTCAAACTATTTATTAAAACAAAAGATTTAAAACAAGCATTCATTTCAATTCTTTAGAACAGCAGAAATGAAGCAATATCATTTTGTTCTTCGTTTTTCACACACTACTATACAAATGTATATTTTAAAACTTCAATGTTACCAGACAGAATCGAAATTTCCAAATAAAAGAAATAAAAATGATATCAATGCATTTTTCATTGAATATTTAAGCTTTTTAAAAAATATGATCTTATTTTCATAATAGTCCTTCAAGTTTTATTCAATAAAATTTTGAGGGCTGACAGGCATTAATGCTCTGACCATTTATAATTAATAAAATTTTATGGTGGGTAAATATTGTATCAAACAAGATGTTTTCATAATTTTGTAAACACACTATTTACTTTGCTTCAATTTACCAGAAACAAATCCATACTGAATAGGGTTTTCAATAAATTTTCCAATATAAATTAGGCAATTCTACTTTCCAGAATACTATAACTGTTGTCATTACATTTGATTAGGGTTACCGTTCAATCCTTAGAAGACATCAGTGTCTTCTTATGTTTTCATCAGTGTCCAAATATAAAAAAAGAACTTAAAGAACTGTAATTGTAATGCCAGAGTTAAAAATGGCTATGACCATTGTTTTATTTTCCATCATCATTAAGTGCACTCCATTATACTTGCCTTGTACCAGATTAAGCTGAGTAAATAGCACTAAAATTTAGAGTTTAAAAATTGTTGATATTTACAAGCAAATGATAATTATTAAACTCTCAAAAATTTAGCATTCTCATCTTTCACAAAAAAAAATATTCAACCAGCTACAAATCTCAGATATTAGACCTATTTGCTAAAAACAAGGGGAAAAAATCCAAAACGTATTTATAAAGTATTACAGAAAATAAAGTTTAAATTATTACATATGGTCAAATCAATTGGCTAAACGTATTTTTAATATGCTATCAGTCTTTAAAAAACAAAAACAAAAAGAGAATTTGAACAAAATGGATAACTTAGAATAAAAATAAAACTGTTTTGGAAAGAGAATAAATCAAAGGCTCAGATTTTCGTTGTATAATTTTGATTAAAATGTAAATGTTGAAATGAAAGTTGAAAACCGCTTTTCATATACAAAAATATACTTTACCTTGAACAGTGAAGTTCACCATTTTATCAATTCTTTGTCCACTTTCTATTCGGCACCAGAGAACAACGTTTGGCCCATCAGTCTCACTTACATTGTAATTAAGTGAGCTTGAAATGCTACGGCTACATTCATTTTGGCCAATTACTTTTGCTGGGTCAACTTGAAGCTGGCTGGATGATGTGTTAGTTCTTCGATACCATTGCAGAGAAAAAGGACCTTCTTTTCGGACAGTTCCTCTGCACACAAAGGAAGATAGTTGATTGACAACAAGGTCAGATGAAGATGTTTTCATGAAGCTATCAATTGATGGTGAACCTAGAAAAATGAAACAAGAAAATCAATTCTCAATTGTTTCTATAAGAAAACCTTGTAGAACCAACAAAACTACATTTCCTTCCAGGATTTTCCTTCAACTAACTTGCAACCGTTAACATGTAATATCTACAAAAGTTTCATTAGTCTTAGCAGAATCATTTTGATATTCAAATTGTCAAATACTGATTTACATTTCTAAATATCTCATTATCATCTTAGTACTTTCACTTTCACTTTATTATTGTGCCAAAATTAAATTGTTGCAATTTCTTCAAGTGAAATATTTTGAATGATACTTACTTTGTAATGTGTTGTTTGTAGAATCCACAGGAATACCATTACTCGATCCACTCCCACGGCAAACGTACCATGTAAAATCAGGACAGTTGACTCTGGGAAAGACAAAGGTCAAAGAACCTGCTCTAAATGTTGTACCAGGTGCTACCTCAAGACTGACGGAACTACCTGCAGACATTTCAAACGTTTTCTGGTCAAGTGAGTACGTTGCCACAAGATCATTATTTCCGTTGTGCAATGTCATTATTGGAAATTGATCATCTGTTTGAAATTCACATGTTATTCTCAGATTCCTTGAGTTCAAAGTGCTGTGAAGGCATGTTCAATGTTACAGACTGACCTGTAAGAAGGAAAGGTGCAAATGAGTAAAATAGAAAACACATAAAACAAAATTTTTGCCCAAATGCATTTTTCACATATATATCCTATATATATATATATATATATATATATATATATATATATATATATATATATATATATATATATATATATTCTTCCTTTTGTGTGTGATACATAAAATACGGAAATGTTTCTGTCTAATTGACTAGAAAAAAATGAGAATTTGTTTGAAATTCCACTTTTTTTTTTTAGGCCAAGATCCTTTCACTTTTGTAAAAGGTGACATCTTTCTATCTAACATAAGAAAGCAAAAACTATACCATTTATTTTATCATTACTTAAAATGGCAATATTTTCAATCTAAAGTCACCAATTTTTAGATGTTGATTGAAAATTTTTACTATTTTATCATTTATTAATTTATTCAAAGAAAAAGAAAATTTGACATCACCTTTGACTTTTTTTTAGTTCAATCTAAAATTAAAAAGACAGTGTACAATTTTATGTTTCCTTCTTTTGGACGTCACACCTAAAAAATTATAAACTATATTGCAAAGGATAAAGGCAAATTTATTAATTATTTAATGACATCTTGTACAATAGAAATTCGTCAAGTGTATTTGAATGTGAATGGCTTTATGCATAAAGCTAAAATACATTGATAAAGACATTTACGGGCAGGTTTTTATTTTCAAAATATGTCGAGATTCAAAGGATCATTCACTTACCTATTTTCATCCAGACCCCTTACTTTTTGATAACTATTCTGAAACATTCTAGTATTAGAAAGTGGACATTAACTCAATGAATGATATCATCATTTTGTATTCTTATCTCATAAAAACTCGAACATGAAACAAAGCATAGACATAAAAATCATCTAAAGGATTACGTAAGAGTTTACAAGGCAAATTTGAAATTACCTTTAACAGGTTGTTGCATAAAAGGAGCTGCAATTTTGGACATTTCTGGAAAGGAAGCAATAACAAAATTACAAATAATATTAAAACAAAAATAACCCACAAATATATACTACCATCGCTAGCGACTAATTTTAAGAATTTACAGCTGAGTAAGCCACTGTCACGTTAGCACATCGGACCAAGTGGAGGACCAATTAAAATAAAGAAAAACTATCGAAAAGAAAAATAATTGTAAATTGTTGATTTCCTCTTAAATTTAGAAGTAGCAGCATCAAATGTGAAATCACAGGTAATAGGAATTACAGTCATTATCAAAGTATCGATTAACACAGTGATACTACAGTTATAGTTTACTCAGTCACAAATACAGAAAATGCATACAGTAGAGGCAGAGAGAAAGAGAGAGATAGAGAGATAGAGAGAGATAGAGAAAGAAAGAGACGAGAGAAAGTTACAGACAGATTGAGAGGAATGTCAAAGATGGAAAGTGTTTGAAATCACAGATAGAGATGTGTGACACTATTTAGCTATGGCACTTGGCTAACCTTAGAAATTAAAACAGGAAATACTTAAGGCAAAAATAAGAGCTATCCGGAAAGATAGACTGATCGATGTTAAAAAAAGATTTTATTCTGTTTACGAAAAAGATACTTTTCACAAAAGGCAATAAGCCCGTGGAAAAAGCCATATGTGAGGTTTTGTCAAGTTGATTAATGTCTTGCCGAGGGAGATAAGTAGAAAAGCAAATATTAAGATATCGGCCAGACCACATGGTGGTCATAAAAGTTTTGGATTGAGAAGAACGACGATACAGGGCAGGGAGAATCTATGTTAATTATCTTTCCAAAATATCATTTTTTCCCTGAGTGCCGGCGGAGAAGGGCAGTGTGGTGATTATAACATTTTGGCATTTGTCTCGATACAGGTGGAGAGAATTGTTGTTGTTTACTTTACCAACGTCCGGTTTCAAACGCCGAAACGTTGGATGGCAATATGGCGATTATAAAATTTTGGTAGTAGAGAGAAAATAGAGTGGAGAAATGAGATTTGGCGAGATAAAAGAATTTAATTACTTAACAAGTCACGGATTCCATTATAAAGCTAACTTCACGAAGGGACCAGATGGCAAACTTTGGCAGTGATTGATGGAATTGATAAAGAGTGCTAAGTGAATTCTGGGTGGCCAAATGTGGCAATATGGAATTCGTAAAATTTTGGCCGATGAGAAAAAGGAGAATTTTGTAAACAAAAATTCTAGATTATAATTTTAAGGAGTCCAGCTTAGCCACACTCGCACGGCCGGGATGCCATTGGTCGAGTGGTAGCAATGGTGATAGGCGGAGGTGAATGGATGAGAAGGACGGAGAAGTTATTAACGCCCACTGAAGGAATTGGTATGAGATATTAATGTGAGAGAGGAGGCGTCTAGGAGCATAGCTCTCCGCCAGAAGGAGACCCTCCCCCCAAACGAAATGGAAAGTGATTAATTTTTCCAAGAATGGGAAGTAATCAATTTTCCTGGCCTGACAACAAAGTGATTTCTTGGTAGAAATCGAAACTTACCGAGAAGCCCAGTCCGCGTCTGGCTCCACACCGGTACCCATATAAACGAACGTCCTCGGGTCGTTCGACAGTTAGTTCCCGAGAGTTCCAGATCAGAATGTTGCTACGCAGAAACTGACCGAGAGATTCCATGACCTCCGACTTCGCCTATCCTACCAATAGCAAGTTATACAGACGAATGAAGCCAAGCCAACACATAAGAAATAAATCAGTTGACTTAAGATACCAACTTGCTTGAAATATAGAAGTGTCACATGTTCGTAGAAAACAGGCTGGGAGAAAAACACATTCCTGTATATAACAGAAGGATAAAGTTAATTTGTTATTTCTTAACATACTTGAATCCCTTGGTTTTTCTTTTATTTACTTCTTTTATCTTTACGCTTGTGCGATACCATCTTCCATCTGGACTCAGCTTACACTACTGCCCGACACCTGATTGATCTCGTCTAACTATGATTAAAGTCACAACGTGGGTAGGTTAGACTTGCGATCGAAGCAGTTACTCCTCCAGTAATCAGACGTTGAAAGTGAGCTGGGAACGATAGAGCTGGTATTGAATCGGTACAGCTGGTGAAACCGTTAACATCGATGACCAGAATTCGACCCTGGACGGGTCAGTATCCCATATTGGTATCCTGACTTGGGCATTTCGCCGAGTAGCGACGACCACCGATTGACCGGGACACAGGCTTGTGGCAGCGACTATGAGTCAACAACAAAACGCCGGTGGAAGAAACATTACAATTTCGCGCCGCGACTGGGAGTTGACCACGTGCCGAGGGCTTGATGTCACAGATGCAAACATGTGCAGAGAGAGAGAGAGAGAGAGAGAGAGAGAAAGAGAGAGAGAGAGAGAAAGAGAGAGAGAGAGAAAGAGAGAGAGACAGAGACAGAGACAGAGAGAGACAGAGAGACAGAGAGAGAGAGAGAGAAGGCGATGACAAGATAGGAGGAAGGCAGAGGAGGAGAGAAGACACAAGAAAAACCAATGTACACATAATAAACAGTACATTACCTTATTTTAATCATTTAATCATTTCACTCCAAGCAAGGTAGTAAAGCCACTAAGACATAAGGAGTTATTAAGTTTGAAAGAATAAGAAAAATGAGTTCATACGTTTCATTTATGAAAAAATAGATATAAGAGTTTTAAGAATAAAGTATAAAGTTTTCTGTTTTAAAATAAAATGTTGAAATTCTGTTCTGAAGAATTGTTATCCCATTAATTATTGTGGTGACTAATATCCTCATCTTTGTTCTTATTCTACTTTCAGACACTGTACTTCAACAAGAATATATTTTTGAATCAGCCTGGATTTTGTTTGTTTTATAAAACGCAGCTTCAGAAATTTGATTTGTTTTTGGCAAAATACAGAAAGGCAATCACAAATGATGGATTTTAATTCTCAATTGGAAACTCAAACTATTTATTAAAACAAAAAGTCTATTTAAAACAAGCATTCATTTCTCTGTTTTTTTTATTCCTGTTAATAGACCAGGTTTACAAGAAATGATGCTGAATATCATTTTGTCTCTTCGCTTTTTATGTTATTAGCTGTTTATATTCATAGAAACTATACAAATGTATATTATAAAACTTCAACAGAAGTCACATTCAGACAGAATCGAAATATTAGAATCGAAATAAAAAGAAATAAAAATTTTCCTGATTTATGATATCAATGCATTTGTTCGCCACAATGATAAACTTTATGAAGCTTTTTGTCTTATCTCCACAGCAGATATGATCTTATTTTCACTAATAGATCCTTCATAGTTTTATAAGTGATTTTTTCTTTAATAGACATTGTCCCATTTTGAGGGCTGACAGGCATTAATGCTCTAAGAGCATTTATAATTAATACTAGATTTTATGGTGGGTATCTATGCCTCAGTATCAAACAGATGTAGCTCACAATTCCGGTCAAATAATTTTGTAAACACACTACTTTACTTTGCTTCAATGTTACTAGAAATTTCCATACTGAATAGCGCATTTTTCCAATAAATATTTCCAATATGAAATTAGCCATCATATTCATCTTTGACCAGCAATAGTGTTCCACTATTGACTATATGTTATGTCATTACATTTGATTAGGGTTACCGGTGAGGCAATCAGTCTTAGAAGACTATAACTGTTGTCATGGGAGTGCAATCCTCATCAGTGTCTTCTTATGGTAGCAGTGTCCAAGGTAAAAAAAGAACTTATAGAACTGTAATTGCAATGCCAGAGTTAAAAATGGCTATGACCATTGTTTTATTTGCCAGCATCATTAAGTGCACTCCATTATACTTGCCTTGTACCAGATTAAGCTGAGTAAATAGCACTAAAATTTAGAGTTTAAAAATTGTTGATATTTACAAGCAAATGATAATTATTAAATTCTCAAAAATTTAGCATTCTCATCTTTCACAAAAAAAAATATTCAACCAGCTAAAAATCTCAGATATTAGACCTATTTGCTAAAAACAAGGGGAAAAAATCCAAAAAGTATTTATAAAAGTATAACAGAAAATAAAGTTTAAATTATTACATATGGTCAAATCAATTAGCCAAACGTATTTTTAATATGCTATCAGTCTTTAAAAACAAAAACAAAAAAGAGAATTTGAACAAAATGGATAACTTAGAATAAAAATAAAACTTTTTTGGAAAGAGAATAAATGAAAGGCTCAGATTTTCGTTGTATAATTTTGATTAAAATGTAAATGTTGAAATGAAAGATGAAAACCGCTTTTCATATACAAAAATATACTTTACCTTGAACAGTGAAGTTCACCATTTTATCATTTCTTTGCCCACTTTCTATTCGGCACCGGAGAACTAGGTTCGGCCCATCTGTCTCACTTACATTATAATTAATTGAGCTTGAAATGCTACGGCTACATTCATTTTGGTCAATTATTTTTGCTGGGTCAACTTGAAGCTGGCTGGATGATGTGATAGTTTTTCGATACCATTTCACAGAAAAAGGACCTTCTTTTCGGACAGTTCCTCTGCACTCAAAGGAAGATAGTTGATTGGCAACAAGGTCAGATGTTGATGTTTTCATGAAGCTATCAATTGATGGCGAAACTAGAAAAATGAAACAAGAAAATTAATTTTAAATTGTTTCAATAAGAAAAACTTGTACAGCCAAAAAAGCTACATTTCCTTCCAGGATTTTCCTTCAACTAACTTGCAACCGTTACCATGTAATATCTACAAAAGTTTCATTTGTCTTAGCAGAATCATTTTGATAACCAAATTGTCAAATACTGATTTACATTTGTAAATATCTTATTGTCATCTTAGTACTTTCACTTTCACTTTATTATTGTGCCAAGATTTTATTGTTAAAATTTCTTTAAAAGAAATGTTAATAATGATACTTACTTTACAGTATTTACATTAGTCGGACTATTGTCCTCATCTTTGTCGCCATATTTGTCACAACGTTTCGGCCGTTGTACGCTCCGGCCTTCTTCAGGTGGTAGGAATTTCGAACTGAAACCTTTATTTCGATCACTGGGGTAGACTGTTCTAGTTCCACGTGCCATGTTTGATGGATGTCAGTTATCAGTTATCTCCTGCTAATTTTCCCTCTGAAAGTTCTCCACTGCCTTAACCAGGAATTGAACTCACCTTCTTTGGGTCTGTCACTGGATCTAACCAACGCCTTTATCCACTGTGCCATGACACATGGCACGTGGAATTAGAACAGTCTACCCCAGTGATCGAAATAAAGGGTTCAGTTCGAAATTCCTACCGCCTGAAGAAGGACGGAGCGTACAACGGCCGAAACGTTGTGACAAATATGGCGACAAAGATGAGGACAATAGTCCGACTAATGTAAATACTGTACATAATACCTCATCTCAGAAATATAGACAGATACTTACTTTGTAATGTGATGTTTGTAGAATCCGAAGGAGTACCATCATTAGAACCACTCCCACGGCAAACGTACCATGTAAAGTCAGGACAGTTGAATCGAGGAAGGAGAAATGTCAAAGAACCTCCTTTAAATGTTGTACCAGATCCGACCTCAAGACGAACAGAACTACCTTGATGCATTGTAAACGTTTGCTGGCCAAGTGAGTAAGTTGCCACAAGATCATTATTTCCATTGAGCAATGTCATTGATGTAAATTGATCATCAGTTTGAAATTCACATGTTATTCTCACATTTTTTGAATTCAAAGTGGTGTGTGAAGGCATGTTCAATGTTACAGACTGACCTGTAAGAAGGAAAGGTGCAAATGAGTAAAACAGAAAACACATAAACGCCAAACTTGCGGAAATGTTCTCAACCCAAATGTATTTCCTCACCATATCTATCTATCTATCTATCTATATATATATCTATATATATATATATATATATATATATATATGCACATTTCTCCTTTTGTGCGTGTCATACTTTTTTCACGGAAATGTTTCTGTCTCATTGCCTAGAAAAAAAATGAGAATTTGTTTGAAATTCCCCTTTTTGTCTTAGGCCAAGATCCTTTCACATTTATAAAAGGTACCATATTTTTATCTAAGATAAGAAAGCAAAAACTATACCTATCATTACTTAAAATGGCAATATTTTCAATCTAAAGTCACCAATTTTTAAATGTTGATTGAAAAATTTTACTATTTTTTCATTTATTAATTTATTCAAAGAAAAAGAAAATTTGACATCACCTTTGACTTTTTTTTTAGTTCAATCTAAAATTAAGAAGACAGTGTACAATTTTATGTTTCCTTCTTTTGGACGTCACACCTACAAAATTATAAACTATATTGCAAAGGATAAAGACAAATTTATTAATTATTTTATGCAATAGAAATTCGACAAGTGTATTTGAATGTGACAGGCTTTATGCATAAAACTAAAATACATTGATAAAGACTTATTTACGGGCAGGTCATTATTTTCTAAATATGTTGCGATTCAAAGGATCATTCACTTACCTATTTTCATCCAGATCCCCTACTTCTTGATATCTATTCCGAAACATTCTAGTATTAGAAAATAATAGTGGACATTAACTCAAGGATTGATTTTTTTATTTAAAAAATATTTATAATCTTGTCAATATTCTCACATAAGCAAACTTACTTTTCTAATCAAAATAATTACTGTGGGGGCTATGTTACGTTGATAGTGAAGTGACTGAATCCAAGATGATTTCTACTATCAGATAAAACTTACATCTCAGTTACGCAGGCGTAATTGACGCTATTTCTGCAATTGTTCTAAGGAAATGTGTTCCTGAACCGTTTCCCTTTCTCTTTAATCTCTACACCAAATGTCTTGCTGATACTTACGTTCCAGCTTCCTGGAAACCATCTTCTCTTGTTCCTGTTTTTAAGAATTCTGAACCGTTTGATCTCTCGACTCATTGTCATATTAATGTTTTACATATTTTGGCAAAGTACTAGAGGTTCTAATCAACTCTGAATTTGCTAAGCAAGTTAACACGACTTTCTTTCGTATAAACAAATGGTTTTCGTTCCACCAAATGCAGACGTGTTAACGTTTAAAGACAGCAATTTACCTAATGTCTCAAATGAACGAGAACAAAATGTCTGGTTCTCATTCGTAGAATTGGTAGAAAACTTTTAGGCAATTATAGAGCATATAAAAAATAGAAAAAGTTGTAAAGAGCGACACAGTGTCAGGTTGCAATCTAAGCTCAAAAACGTATTATGTGAATAGCCATCTTGACCAAGTGACAAACAATGGGGTGAGATTCCGCATATATATCAAAATTATGGAGGAACAGTCGCTGGGATTACTCAAATGATAGCAGATTACTGTGGGTGCTTGAAAAGAGACTTGTCACCAGAAAGAAATACTCTAGAAAGGTTTGTAAAAGAAGTATCATAGGTAAAGCTTCATATCTGTTTGCTTTTCATTTAAGTCTTTTCTATCGTTATAATGTAATTTTACTGTAGATTTACAACTTGTTTTTCATGAAACTTGAAAAGAATTTAACACATGAATTAATTTTAACCCTAATTTAAAAAAAAAAAATCTGGAAAATGACCTAATTTTCCTAATGTCTCAAATGAACAATGAATTTGTTAAGTATGTTAACACGTCTTTCATCCTTATAAACTATATGGTTTTCATTTCCCCAAGTTAAACGCAAATGTGTTAACGTTTATTGTTGAATTTATCTATACATCTTCAGATAATAACTTTGAGGCTCGAGATTGTGCTTTACATATATTGAAGCCGTTTAAAAATGTCTGACGTGTTGGTTTTTTGTACTTAATAAATAAATATACAAAGTTATTAGGAAATGTTCTCTGTAACTATTCTTAAAATAATTTTTTTAAAATAATTTACACGTCCGTTGATGGAATATTAGAAGATAAAAAAAATGTTCTTGCCTTTTCTCATTTATTTGGGAAAAACGTATACAGTTAATTTGACAAACCGTTAATCCTAAAAGTAGTCCATGCGCAATGGTCTGGCGGCAAAATCAGGTGTCTTGGACGCAACGAATTATGAGAGTGCCTACCGCAACTCTGCTTTATATGCGAAGAATTTTCCACGGACGGGGGTTATCCAGGGAATGGAAGAGGTGATAATCTTTTGGCACAAAGTCCGGAGAGTTAGGTGGATATCATTCTCTCCCAACCAAGACGCAGTATAGTATCACTAGCCAACCGCGCAAAAATATGGCCTGACATTGTCAAGGAGGAATAGTAGACTCTTACGATTAATACATACCGGCTCATTCTGCTTCAGTGCCTGTTGTAAACTTCACACTGGTGCGAGTACATGTCCACAGTGATGGCTTGGTTCGTTGGTAAGGACTCATAGTGCACTGCTTGTCGACTTGTCCACCAAATACAGAGGATGATCTTTCGTGAATGTAGATGTGGTCTTGTGGTATGAGGCACAGGAACCCGTGTTGAAAACCAATGTCGGGCACTGTTGGGAATGTCATACAGGATCCACTTTTCGTCATTGGAGAGCACTCGATAAAATATGGCTAAGTTGCAGTGCTGAGAAAGCAACGAGAAACAGGCTGTCACCCATTGTTGTTTGCTGGATTCAGACAGTGTGTGGGTTAGCCACTTCTTTAACTTGTTCGCCCTCCTATGCGGTACAAGTGAAGTCTAACTTATCAGAAACATGATTTTCCTGTTGTTCTCCTCTAGGGCTGCCTCCATCTTCCAGGATTTGTGGCCAACTACTGGTGACTTCATTGCAAAAAGACAGATCACCCAACCTGAACTTTTGGAACCAATGATTTATGGTACGTTCACTTATAGTATTATCCTAAAAAATTGACGTATTTGGCAACTTAATTCGTCTGCGAACAAGCCTACATTAAAGTCATAAAACAGACAATCCAGAACAAATTGTTTCGACACCGCAATATTTCCTTGTCGCTGCTCGAACGATGACTGATATGAGTCCGTAACGCACCTGCCTTGATCAAGAATGATAGCAGCATCATCACCCACACCACTTTACTGGCACGTGATGCTCTCATTTGCGTATAAATGATCACCCATTCACAATCGATTAAAAAACAGCAAGGTCTTCTTTTTATTTGATTATCTTATATTATTAACTACGGATGTACAGACTCGTAATCATTTCCGTTTTTCAGTTGTCATCTTTCTGGCACTATCTACGTCACAGCTAATACGCACTGATTGAAAGAACATAGTAATCTGTATCTCTGACACCATTGTCGACAGACATTTCTACAGAATTTATATAAGCATTAACCAATAAATAAATAAGTTAATATTGTACGTATAGACATATATCTTAATGGAAATTAGGTAAACGTAATGTACATTTTAACGAACAATTATTAAGTTTCTTTATGAATAATTAACTTTTTTTGTTCTTAAATGTTAGGCCTTGAGCAGAGATATAATTGTATTTTCTACTCTGCATATCAAAGTAGGCCCTGTTAAACAACGTCTACAAGATAGGAACGGCGACTGTTTGAAATACTTCACTTCAAAATTTGCAAGTTATGAAAAAATTAAGGAGGGAATTTTTAACGTTCCACTAATAAGAACATTAATTAAAGACATTAAGTTTCAAATGTCGCGAAAGAACGCAAACAAAATGCCTGGTTCTCATTCGTGGAATTGATAGAAAACTTTTAGGCAATTAAAATCCTGTGTAATCCTTTACAATTTTTTCATAGTTATCTAATTACGAAAAAATTGTAAAGGATTACATAATTTTAGGTTGCAATATAAGCGCAAAAATGTATTATTTTAATAGCCATCTTGACCAAATTCCAAGTAATTTAGTTGATGCAAGTGACTAACAAGGGTTGAGATTCCACACATATATCAAAATTATGGAGGAACATCCCCAAGGCCGCTGGGATTCCCAAATGATAGCTGATTGCTGCTGGTGCTTGAAAAGAGAGGTGCAAGGAAATACTCTAGAAAGGTTTGTAAAATAAATATCAGAGGTAAATCTTCATATCTTTGCTTTTCAGTTAAGTCATTTCTATCGTTATAATATATTTTTACTGTAGTAATATATTATATGTAATATAATATATTTTTTACTGAAAAACAAGTTGTAAAACTTGTTTTTCATGAAATTTGAAAAGAATTTAACGCATGAATTAATTTTTAGCCCTAATTTTTTTAAAAAATCTGGAAAATGGCAGTTCAGCGCACCGAAATTACCTAGAATCAAACGTCCAGATACGATTCAATAAAGTGTTATTATTATTAGCAGTACAGTAAAACAGTGTTGTTATTCGTTTGCAAAACTTTAAAAGACGATCTAAACGCTACAGTCAGGTTTTCAAGCAATTGATGGACAGAAACAAATTGATGAGTTCATGAAGAAGAAAGAATGCCTAAAAAAAAAATGAAAAGAAAAAGGGAACAATACAGAAATTTAAAGAGTAATGTGAAATTATAGTTTAACTTTATCCTGGGCGTTAACAATAAACATACTCATTGGAAAAATCAGTTTAATTGTTAAATTATTGAGCTAAAAATTTCTCTCATTGTAATGTAATATTACTGTAGATTGTAATGCTTGTATTCATGAAATTTAAAAAATGATTTCATCACATGACCTAATTTTTAGTCCTGATTTGAAAAATCTGAAAAATGTCGGTTGAGAAGAAACAGGAATTGGTAGAGCCAAGCCAAATTGGAATTCGTATTCAGTGCGACCAAATTACCAAGAATCAAACATCAAATACCATTCAATAAAATGAGTTCACCATTAGCAGTACAGTAAAAAAAATAACCGTATAAATCGATTTAAATGCTACAGGCAGATTCATGAACTAGTGAGTGACAGAAACAGAGATGAGCTCATGGCTCGAAAGAATGCATAAAAAATTCGGTGGGAACGAGACAGAAATTTAAATAAAGTGAAATTAACAATCAACTCCCTGATTGGAAAAGAAGTTTATTCGTTAAATTATCGAGTAAAACATAGGATCTGAATATTTACTTATGTTAAAAATACAGATTTTCTTCCCATTGACAGATGAAGAGATGACATCTGGAAACTATTGAAAGTCTGTTAACAAATAAAATGTTAGGATACTATTCATCCATTATCTGGATATTGCTGCCACATCTGGTCACGTGATTCGGCTTTATATTTAGAGATCGTTAATAAAATAAAATAAAATATGAAATACTATTGATCCAGTCCTGGGATCTCGGTTTTAGTCTCATTCCCACTGCCGTAAGGTAGATTCCCTGCAGCTTTTCTATAAGTACTTTCATGGTAATTGTTCTGATGAACTTTCCCCTATAAAATAGATATTATGAATTTAAGCGCTGTACAAATATTGCCGGTCAGGTCTCATAATGTTGAAATTGCTGGCAGTAGCCGTAAGTTCTATGCTAACAGTTTATTTTCTCGCTTGTAGAATTCTCCTCTGTTTATTTGTTTCTAGTTAATTTTGATATTCAAAAATTTAAATGCTATGTCAGTCGTTATCGTTAACTTCTGTCTTTTTAAATTCTCTTCGTTTGTTATCTCTATTTCGGAAATTTTCTTTCCCATTTCCATACATTCAGTAAGCGTCTCTCCGGTGTGATGACATTTCCGAATGAAAGTTTCTGCTCTCTGTCCGAACTCTCTTCTATGCTGCTCTTCACGGCTTCGGGTCACATTTTCTGCAGCCTAACAATGATCAATTCGATTTTTTTTTTGTGTATTCCAGTTCCTTTCTGGTCAGGTCCATTGCAAAGAGCTCCTTCATTTCATTGCATTTCCAGAAAACACTACGGCGCATATTACAAAAGATGCCTATACTTTTGTGTTTGAGATAACACTTCCTTGCTACTAAGAATTGCCCTAATATGATCCTACTCGATCAGATCTATCATTTACAGACAGAAGACACATTCATCATTTAAGTGCTTGCTATCTTGACCTTGCTCGCCAGTTAGATATGGAATGGAACAATTACCATATAAGGGAATTTTACGTAAGGCAAATTTAAAGTAAGATATAGCCCAACAAGACACACTCGGTCCGAGCTATTTTAACAGCATTTGCACCCAGTCACAAGAATAAAAATGTAAAATCTGGTTGTAGATACGGTGGACTAATAAACTGCAGAAATCATATAGGTTACTTTAGTTGCTGGTAGAGGTTCATAAACGTAACCGTTATTTCAGTGATTTGAATGTTGGTGTCTGCGGCAGAATTGGATTCTCACCCACGTTCCCTGTTTTCATTTCAGCACAAGAAAAATGTCCAGACGGAGGTAAGAGAGAAAAAAAATTTAATCTGGTAAAGATCATTTAATTGTGAAATCTAAAATGTTGAAACTTGCATATAAAGAATAAAAATAAAAAATAAAAAAAATAAACAGAACAAATATCGCTGTGGATACTTTATCACTGGAAATGTAAAATATACTTAGCGTGTATAATACGCACTTCTAGACTTAAATTATGGTCATGAAAAATGAATATTAAAAAAATGCCTAAAAGGAAAATGATAATAAAATAGATCATTTATATCATGGCCACGATAAAAAATATTTAAAAAAATACACTTACCTTCTGAGAGGTAAGGAAGGAGTAAAACCATTAAAGTTCCTATTAACAAAATTTCCATGATTTTTTAAGTGACAATTTAACCGTGGGCTTAAAAAAATGAACTCAAGAAATTTGTCGGACAAGAAAAGTTTTTCTACACTTGAATATATGGCGAGTAGGAAGTTAAATGTCATGGGTGTGGTTAGGCTATAAACCTAAATCAGTTTCACTTATTCGTTTACATTTTATATCACTATGCACCTATATCATACTGTGTATGTATATATATATATTTGCTGCTGTTGTGAATATCGTATCAAACATGGTGATATGCAAATGGATATTAAATTAAACTATTTTTTTAAAATATGGTTATTCATATGTACATCTATCTATCTATCTATATATATATATATATATATATATATATATATATATATATATATACCCATATTGATCCACATAAATAAATATCACCTCATGGGCTTTTAAGAGTTCGTTTTCTTCATAATGATAATAATTATATATATATATATATATATTTCTAATCATATATATATATATATATATATATATATATATATATATATATATATATATATCTATCTATCTATCTATCTATCTATCTATCTATCTATCTCTGTATATCTATATTTATATATATATATATATATATATATATATATATATATATATATATATATATATATATATGCCTATATTGATTCACATGATCAGTTGTGCCATGATATTGATCAGCATTAATTTATTAGATGTATATTTATATTTTATTTTATAGTTATAGCTTTATAACTTTATGTAATTTGTGTCAATGTCTGTGTGTTTTAAATGTTTTTCCTTTGTAAGAATGTATTTAACTCGACTTAATATATTTTTATCTAAATATCTGTATTCTATTGTTGCTTATTGTTTATACATATGTGTTTGTTTTTTATTATAAATGTTTAGATGTGAATATATATATTTATATTTTATCTCTCCCGTTACAACTTGAAGTAAATAATGTGTGTGGATGCGTGCGAAGGGTTTTGTTTTTTCTGTTTATTTTACATGTAAAATTCATTTTCTTTTAGCTACGTTTATTTTAAATACAAAATTTAAAGAAAACAACATCCCCTACCGGTATTTAAGCAATGGCGGCCACAACCTTAACAACATAAGAGACGCAGATGACACTGTACTGATTGCAGACACGGAAAAGAAATTACAAAATCTCATCATCGTCGCCATGAAAAATAAAAAATAAAAAAACAAAAACAAACAAAAAGCACAGCTACTTACCTTCTGTCAGGTAAAGAAGAAGTAAAACAATGAAAGTTCTTTGATGGAGGATAAATAAAACTTCCATGATTTCTTCACCGAAAATTTAACCGTGGGCTTAAAGAAATAAACTCAAGAAATTTGTCGGACAAGAAGAAAATTATTTCTACACTTGAATGTATGGCGAGTAGGAAGTTAAATGACCTGAGGTGTGGTTAGGGTATAAACCTAAATAAGTTTCACTTACCTATATTATTATTATTGATTCACATAAATAAATATAATCTTATAGGCTTTTCTTATAGCGTTCGTTTTCTTAATAATAATAATAATATATATATATATATATACATTTCTAAATATATATATATATATATATATATATATATATATAGGTATAAATATTGGATCTCTCTATCTCTCTATGTGACTCTCTCTCTCTCTCTCTCTATATATATATATATATATATATATATATATATATATATATATATATGCCCATATTGATTCACATGAGATGTGACAGGATACTGATCAGCATTAATTTATCAGTTGTAGATTTATATTTTATTTTTCTTATAGCGTTCGTTTTCTTAATAATAATAATAATATATATATATATATATACATTTCTAAATATATATATATATATATATATATATATATAGGTATAAATATTGGATCTCTCTATGTGACTCTCTCTCTCTCTCTCTCTCTATATATATATATATATATATATATATATATATATATGCCCATATTGATTCACATGAGATGTGACAGGATACTGATCAGCATTAATTTATCAGTTGTAGATTTATATTTTATTTTATAGTTACAGCTTTGTAACGTTATGTAATTTGTGTCGCTGTCTGTGTTGTTTGTTGGGGAATATGTTGCTTGAGTGAAATATATTTGCAGACTGAAATCATGTTAACGGTAAATTTAACGTTAAGTCTGAAATACGAAATTGCGTGATGCAGGTTTTGGTGTCAAGGTAAAATTTGTGTCTTTCTCACTAGCGAGGATGAATGACGTTTCATTTTTACAGAAAACGTGATAGGTTCACAAGTGACTTGGCGCAATTTATGTGAACTTTTGTATTTATTAACCAATCAGAAAGCGCCGCTGAATATAGAATTTTGAATCCTATATACTTCTTTCAAGTGTATGACACGATACCGACTACAATTCGAACTCGGCCTTCCGATTTCTCATGCCGAACTGTTATGCCTTACACCAGACGAATTTCGCGATTAACAATAAGTTGAAAGCACAATCTTGATTGTAACTTGTTATAATAATACATTAACAAAGATTTAATATAGTAACATATTTTTTCATTCTAAATATTACTTACATTCAAATGTCTGAGATCATACCTATTTATTTATGAAACTTGTGAGACAATCCAATATTAAATAACGAAATCCCCCTTCACTATTATCTCGAAATTCAAGGTAAGTCATATATATGAGGGCTGTATGGGCAAGTATGTACGCTACTGTTGGAGGTTTGGCGTCTAAACCGGCTACTCCACTTTCTTGGTTCTTGCGAGTGAGGCAGCTTGTTAGCAACCATGTAGGATGAAATATAAGACCTATCAAATGGCGGAAGAACTCTTGATGACACAACGGCCAGCTAACTAAAGATGGTGTCTCAATAAATCACCATGGAGAAGGAAATAGAAATCCAATCTACTATCGATAGTTTGTGAGAAAGATGAAGGTAATAAAATACCTTACTGAAACCTGAACTTTGCCACCTCGCGTGCACAGTTCATTGGCCAAGGAGTGTAGGGGGTCAATTGATGGTGAAGGAAAGAGAAAGATTTCTATCCTCCCCAATTTCTTTTAATCGAAACCCACCAACGCAAAAATAATGTTCATAGTTATCTTTTTTGCCTATTTTTCATAATATGCAGTAAAAATTGCAGAGCTAACAGGACCAGTGTCATGCTAATGAACAAGATGCATAAATTTCTAAGATAATAGAGAAAAAAGTTCTTCAGATGTGAAACGGATATTTCGGAGAACGTTTCGATGGCGAAAGAGAACAAACGGAAATAAATAAATATATCGACAGACTTGGAATATTAAAAACTGAAGTGTAATCTGCATTAGCCAAATTGAACAGAAACAAAGCGACAGGACCAGACGGAATTGTAATAGAGATGCTGGCAGTCTTAGATGATTTCGGCATAGAGAAGATTACAGAAATAATAAATACTTAAATAGCATAAGTAAATGGATATAGGAACGGGGTCTAGGGGAAATAAGAAAAATATTAATAACTACAAAGGATAGGAAATTGTGGAGAGACATGATCGCCTACGTCCTAAGGGACGAATAACATAGAAGAACTGAGATTCCTGTCACAGTTAGGTTTTCTGGTTATTTATTCCATTTTTTCTAAAAGTTCTTTGTTGCTCACATTTTTGGTCCATGGTATTTTCAGCATCCTTCTGTTGACACACATTTTTATTGATTCAAGTCCCTTCTTCATCTGTAAGGACATTGATTACTATTCACTGCCAAGTAGAACTGATATTGCTTAAATAGTCAAGTACTCATTTCGTTGTTTCTGACGAAATTTCTCTGTTTCTGTCGAAATTTTTCTGTTTCTTCATACTTTACTTAACTTTTGAAAGGTATCTGCTATCTTCATTTATATTGAAAAGTAAAACTAAGATGGGCAAGCATGCTATTAATTAATTGAACATAAACTTATTCTATCACATAACAGTTCAGTAATCATTTAATTAGTTGTTGGGTAAAAGAAAATGCAGTTGTGGAAAGAAAGCATTGACAAAATTACAAATAATATTAAAACAAAAATAAACCACAAATATATACCAACATCCCTAGCGACTAATTTTTAGAATTCACAGCTGAGTAAGCCACTGACACCTTAGCACATCGGATCAGGTGCAGTAACAATTAAAAAGAAAGAAAAAACTATCGAAAAGTAAAAGACATTTTTAGCTGTATTAAGTGTTGTGGATTCCGGGATGAAATCCGGTACTAATACAAACACCAAGAAGGTATATAGGGAAATAAATGTATTAACCTAATAATACAACTGGTAATGCAGGTTAGTAATTCCAGGAATACGGGTTAGTAGCAATATATATATATATATACTTTGGTATCGACGTATCACTGAATGTTCTGTTTCGTGCTCGTTCGTCGCTCTTTCTCGTTCTTCTCCCGGGTATTCACTTACAGTAGTCTATTTATACCTTGGGTCAGTCCATTTGTGTAAAAAGAGGAGAACCCCTCAACATAAAGTAAAGGCATTTTTGAACTCATTCAGATCCCATAAATTTACAATTTTTGAATTGTTGTTTTTCTCTCAAATCTAAAAGTAACAACGTAAAGTATGAAAGCACAGGTTGTAGGAATTAGTGAATATAGTCCATGTTCATTCACTAAGTATAGAGGAATACAGCAATAACTATAATTATACTTACCCAGCGTCAAATTAAATACAAATATAAATATAAATAGAGAGAATGACAGACAGAGAAAGAGAGCGAGAGAAAGTTACAGACAGATTGAGAGGAATATCAAAGATGGACAGTGTTTGAAATCACAGATTGATATGCACACATTTGCACAGAGAAAGAGAGAGAGAGAGAGAAACACAGAAAGAGAGAGAGAGTGAGAGAGAGAAGACGCTGACAAGAGGAAGAGAGAAGACACAAGAAAAACAAATGTACAAATAATAAACCGTACATTATCTTTTTTAATCATTTCACTCTAAGCAAGGTAGTAAAGCCACTAAGACATAATGGGTTATTAAGTTTGAAAGAATAAGAAAAAAGAATTCATACGGTTCTTTGATGAAGAAACAAATTTATGATTTTTAGAATAAAGTATAAGTTTTCTAATTTAAAGTAAAATCTTGAAATTCTTTTATGAAAATTTTTTATCCTATTAATTATTGTGGTGACTAATATCCTTATCTTTCTTCTTATTCTACTTTCAGACACTGTTCTTAAGCAAGAATATATTTTTGAGACATCCAGGATTTTGTTTGTTTTATTAAACAGTCTCAGAAATTTGATTGTTTCAGTAAAATACCGAAAGGCAATCAAAGATGATGGATTTTAATTCTCAATTAGAAACTGAAACTATTTATTAAAACAAAACGTCTATTTACAATAAGCATTCATTTCTCTGATTTTCTTTATTCCTGGTTACAGAACAGGTTTACAAGAAATGACGTTGAATATCAGTGAACCTGTTCGTTTTTCATGTACTTAACAGTTTATATTCTTAAAAACTATACAAAATTAGATTATAAAACAGAGGTTATATTTAGACAGAACCAAAATATTAGGATGAAAATGAAGACAAATAAAAAGTTACCTGATTGATGATATCAGTGCATTTGTTCCCCCCAATGACAGACTGTATTAAGCATTTCAGGTTTTGTCTTATCTCCTCAGCAGATATGACTTTATTTGCATTAACAGGCCCTTCATAGTTTTATAAGAGATTTACCCCTTAATAGACATTATCCCATTTGGGGGGCTGACAGGCATTAATTGTCTAACAGTAGATTTTGATTATTTTAATTAATACTGAATATAGCATTCTTCCAATAAATAGACAGAGGCTATAACTTTTTATATGAAGATTAATTTATTCAGAAATGAGAAAATTTGAAATCATCTTTGTTTTTCTCAAATAAAATTGTGTACAGTTTCATGTCTCCTTCTTTTGGTAGTCAAATCTTGAATATGATAAACTATAAGGCAAAGATTAAATGCACATTTACTAAATATTTAATTGTAGCTTGTGAAAAAGAAATTCAGAAAATTGTATTTGAATGTAAATTGCTTTATACATGAAACTGAAATACATTAATGAAGAGTTATTTACAGACAGGTCTTTATTTCAAAGTATGTCGACATGCAAAGGATCGATCACTTACACCCAGACACCCAGCCACTTCTTGTTAACTATTCTGAAGCATTCTAATAGTAGAAAATAATAGTGGACATTAACTCAAGAATTCATGTCTTCTTCAAAATTATTGTTCATCTTACCAATGTTTTCACACAAACAAACTTATTTTTCT